CTGGTTTTAATAACTTGTAACATAAACCCTCCCCCTTTTTCACCGTTTGCAGTATTTTTTTTCTGTAAAGCAAATATATACTCAGACCTGCTAATTCAATCAATTCTGCGTTAATATTTATCAGTTTTGGAACTAAGTACCATTTGGTGTGCGTCCACGTTCACCAAAAGAAAATTGGATATTTACCCAGAAAATCATGACGAACACCTTCTATCAAAAGACGGAAAAAATAACATTTTGGGAGGGCAACTTAAAAATGTTAATATCTAAAAAAACATCTCTAACGATCACTTGTATCGAATCTTATGTAAAAATTCCGATTTTGGAACTTTTAAAAGGTCAAGGTCACTGTTATTTAACAGCTGAATGAAAATTGTAAATGTGCACCCTATAAGTACAAATGTCAATCTCGAAACATATTTGGCAATAAAATTATCAAATTAGTCCTAAATATAGAAACTATAGTTATAATCCTTTGTATTTTTCGAATTTATTTTGCTATAAACGCAAATATGTAGGGGTGGCCAGCTGTCTAAACGTGACTCTACGTTTTCCTTGAAATTTTAGATTTGACCTTTGACCCAAATTTAAGAAAACCGTGACCACTGTAGACAACGACGACATCAATATTTCGACCAGGTTTGTTCTCCTCTTTCTAATGATATAAAATATAGCCGTGTGTTATTCCGTTAACCCAAATCGATCAAATTTGTTGACTGGGCACCCTACTATATCTGCCATGTGCAGATCTCTAACCTTCAACCTCAGTGTTGACATGCTAGTGATACTGTAGATGAACTACCTAGATAACTCTGCCATTTAGGTCCCTTTAAAAACAGATAAGTAAGAAAATGCCACTAATAGTTTGTGGAAAATGCATAATTTATCAAGTAGGCATTTATCCAAATCCACATAATAAATACAAGTGACAACACAATTTGCATTCTCGTTTTTCCTGCATTGTTGGTTCATTAATGGGCACAGAATACAATTCTGATATTTAAAATTTTTGAGTGCATGCAAAAGAATAGGTGAAAGGTTAAAAAATACATTGATATTGTAAAAAAAAGTCCAGAATGCTTTTTAAAAATACATCATTGAGGATAAAGATCATTTAAGTACTTTTTATTTTGTTGTCCAATATTTGCCACTGGATGTTAAGCAAACAAAAATCAAACAACAACTTTTTTCATTTTTTTATCTTTCAGCAGTATTATAGATAAATCAATCTTGAATCTCTGAATCCAAATAATTTTGAATCAATGCATTACTTATAATGTCCAGTATCCAGCACATTTCTCTTGTGTCCACACAAACTTCTAATGTTTAACTTTCCCTTGCCATTCTATGACACTTCACAATTATCTTATGCAGACTTGTCTTCAATCACCATCAGTATATTTTTCTGCAAGTTGCACAAAATTTCAGATAAAACGTGTATTCTGTATATTGTCAGTCTTCCAAGGTAACATTATTGTTTCAGTAAGTAGGTGAATAAAAGGACATGTGGCATAGGGAGTAGAAAAGGGGGGAAATTTCTGGCAGACAATGAAAACAGCTAAAAATACTGAGTATTTCTTATAAAAATGCAGCAAAATTCACTCTAATGTTTATTGGTACCGCTGCAATGTTGTATAATAACTTCTTTCTCCTTTTTGTTGGCAGGAAAAGAAATCCTTGACTCAAAAAGTGTAACTAATAGTAGAATAAAAAAACTAAGAGGAAAATAATTCAGTGTGTAGGACAGCTCTTATATCTTATGAAGGGGGTGATATGCTTATGGGATGTGGGATATAAGAGGTAAAAAAAAAGTGGGAATGTGGTAAATAGGGGGTAAAAAAAGTTGTGGTGTGGGATATTGGGGGTAAAAAACTAAGAGAGAAGTAGGCAAAAATTACAAAAATGTGGGATTTGGGAAATGAGCAACCCCTGTCACCCCCTCTTTTCTTCAAAATGTAAAGTGATTGTTTATTTCAATAATAAACATTAGTCAAATACAAATAGATAGCTGAAATGGTCACCGAAACATAATGGCCTTTATAAAACTTAAAATTAAAATATAGATAATTTAGAAATTGTTGTATACTGTGGATTCAGCTGAAGCTCGCCTCCGGGTGCAGGATTTTCTCGCTTTGTTGAAGACCCATTGGTGGCCTTGGGCTTTTTCTGCTCTTTGGTCTGGTTGTTGTCTCTTTGACATATTCCCGATTTCCATCCTCAATTTTATTATTTCGTGGGTACCAATTTTTGTGGATTGAGTAGGTATTGATAAACCATGAATGCAAATGTTCAAAGTAGTATAAATTCTTTATAGGCTTGCATTCAGACTTTGGTAAATCATTGAAATCAAATACCCACAAAAATATGCAACCCTCAATCCCTGAAAATTGGTATCTACGAAAATATATGAATCCACAGTAAATTTATCATTGGGATTTTTGACAAAATGGGATATTACTTAACATTGTGCTCTCAGGAATAATAGTAAACTGATAAGGTGATCAGATTTGTATAATAAATATGATACTTACTATTAACAAGAATTTTTGTAATTATTAAAATGCTTACATCATGGCTAAAAACTTAAAAGATTCACATCGCAAATTATTGTTCAATAGCGAAGTCAATTACTGGTTGAAATGGAAATGTTGTCTAGGGTCTCCATTCATAAGTCTTGCTTGCTGGTGGTAGGGAAGACTTATGTCGGTGTATCCTTCTAAAATGTTTATTTGTATTCAGTCTGCAGAACTGGGAACGACGTACATATAGATTCTACCACTGCATCGAGTGTGATACAACATTTGGAGGTGGAATCAGTTTCTCTAATGATTTTTAGACGATTAATGCAGAAAAACTTAATTCTTCTTTTCCAATGATCTGAAAAAAGATGTGTTCTTTTTGTGTAACATCACCAGACAAGGTTGCCTTTTTTCGTGACGTCACAATGGGAAATTCAGAAGAAAGCAAGAAAATTTGACGTCATAATTGAATTTTGACCAATGAAGAACTGAGATCAAATAGACCACACGTTGATCAAATGAAAATAATCAACAGGTCAGGAAAAGGATAAATTGGCTAAAAATTAGAGAAATATAGATTCTACCACTGCATCGAGTGTGATACGATATTTATCCACTCGAGACAGTTAAATTTTCAAATTTTAAAACGCGAGGCTCGCCGAGAGTGGATAAATATCGTATTACACGAGATTTGGTGGTGGAATCTGTTTCTCTAATGATTTTCAAACAATATGCAGGCAAACTTATTCCTTCTTTTTGAACTGATCTGCAAAGAGATGTGTTCTTTCTATGTGACGTCATCATGTATGGTCGCCTTTTTTCATGCCTTCACAATAGGAAATTCAGAGGAAAGCAAGAAAATTCGACGTCATAATCGGATTTTAACCAATGAAGAACTGAGATCAAACGAACCACACGTTGATTAAATTTTTTTTATACAATGGGTGCAGAAAGGGATAAATTGACGAAGAATTAGAGAAAAAGAAATATAGACTTCAACTAGCCCACACTTATTTGTGAAATTTAACACCAGTGCCATGCCATTTTCTATGTAGTTCAACAATTCTATATCTTTATATCATAAGACATTCACTTGATATGATTCATACATTGTTATCAATTAAAATATGAGAAAACAAGCCTGGTGGGTACCAATTTTAAGGTTGTCTGCATATTGATGTTGTAAAACATCAGCTGCGAGTCACAATATGAAGTTTTTTGTTGAGTGAGCTTCATATTGTGTTGAGTAGCTGATATTTTACAGTACAAATATGATGAAAATCTAATAATGGATTTATCAGATTGTATTTGTATGCTTTGAATGATAGAAACAAGTGTATTTCTTTGCTTCACCAGCAAGCCGCAGATGACTTGATAAGTTCGGATCATTCTTATCAACTTTGGTTCATTCATTATGATGTCAGTGAAATGTCCGGGTCAAAGTTATTTAGGTTGGGTTAAAGTATTTGACGTCACAAAGTTGTGATTCACAATTTTATGAAGAGCTGAGCAGAGTGATACAGACAGTGGGAACACCGATAAATAGAAATATAGACTTCAGCTAGCCCACACTTATTATTTGTGCAATTTCACTCCACATGCCATTTTTTATGTAGTTCATAAGGCATTCACTTGATATGATTCATACATTTTTATCAATTGAAATATGAGAACACGCAGGTGTACAAAATTATAAGCCTGCATGGTATCTTTGATTAGTTATTTGTGCTTCTAATGATACAAGAATTATTTATGACTGTTTAAGCAGTTTTTTCACAGATCAATTTTAGCAGTGCAAAATAATAACATGTTTTTAAGATGAAGAAGAAATATAATCCTAAAAACAATATTATTATTTAGCAGTTTAAGTGTCAATTGTTTACACCTCCAAAGCGGGAGATATTATCCTCTTTGGAAAAATTGTTTGTTAGTGAATTTTTGTAGATCCTATATTGTTTTTTAAGCTATTTTAGCAGATAAATTGAGTTTAGCAAGCAGCTTGTTCTTAGTTTGGTGTAAGGTGCTCATGCCGGCTAAGACTCTTGCAGTTGAAACCTGAAGTTGACCTCAATTTTTGCCTGAGACTTAAGAGTCTCATAAGTTTTAAAAAAATTGATTCTCTTGTAATTTTTATATAAAATCTTGTCCATAAATTCATAGCATTTTAACATATTTGAATGAGGTACGTCATTTGACCCACATCTGAATAACTTGTCAGTTTCATATTCATTCATAATCAGTATGCATGCAAGACATTTATGTGTGTCCATACTTAAATTTGTACACTTTATATTATAATTCATGATTTCATAGCAAATTTAACATATTTGAACTACACATGTCATTTTAGTTTCATCTACTTCATTTGACCTTCATCTGATAAACTGGTTATCCTATTCTTACTCATTCATAGCCAGTACTCTAGCAAGACATTTATGTGTGTCCATAAAACTAAAACACTTTCATATATTGTCATTACAGCTTTTAGATCACACAGAGCTCAGAAAATAGCTAAGGAATTATATAAGACACGAGGCATGGACCAAAGCCGTGCAGCAGTCCTGATACAGACATATTTTCGCCAGTGGAAATGTAAATCAGTTTATCAACAGCTTCAGCAATATAAATCCCAGAAAGAACTGCAACTTATTTATTTCACTCAGCAGGTAATTATATTCCAGTATATAAGGGTCTGGATGGAAGGTCTTCAATTCTGTGTTCTTTAATTTTTAGGCCATTTTCATCTCATCTAAGGGCGATGAGATGTGGCCAAGAAACATCCTCGAGTTTGAAAGACAAATGACAATCTGTTTATCGCTATTTTGCCAATGAAGTTGTTAATGTTTACATTGACAACGGCAAGTGCACTCTTAGCTTCTGACAATAATTTTCAATCTAAAGTGGGAAGCAAGATATGAAAAATTATCAAAAAAAGATCAAAGGAAAAATACACAAAATAGCCATAACATAGATTATGATGTTGGGAATCAGCTAGAAAATGATAATCTATTATCCCGGTAATCGAATAACCAGACAGCATGCTCTAATTCCATTTTTGGATTATAATTGAATGAGAAATCCGCTTCAAGGATAGTGACTTAATTTTAAAAATTAATTTCGTCCTGAACATGTATAAAATATTTGCCACTGGACATAAAGCTACCAACATTTCACTGTATTCATCATGTTCATAATGTTCATGTTTTTTTTGTATAATTTTACTTGTTTTGTTTTTTCACATTTTTCACATTTTTAATATGTACTATTTGAATTACAAAAATAATGGTGGATAATGCATAGGTGTACAAAATAGCCTCTTTATAAAGTGCAAATTGCAGGTATATTTCACAATCATTTTCCTAATTCCCATTTTCACAATGTGAAAATTGCCTCTTTACAATGCTTAACCTCCAACTCCGTATATTGCTAGCCACAAATTGAAGTGAAAGATTTTATTTGTATATATGCCATACCAATAAAAGGATTAGGTTCCATAAGGCCTCAGTATGGCCCCTATTTCTAAATTTCAAATTAGTATTTAATGACTATTATCACAATTATTCATTGTTAAAACAAATCCTTGATAGAAAATATGTCTTATTTATGAAAATTTACATATCAGTGTTTTTAATATGATTTCGAAATTGGCATCAATTGTCAATTTTCAACAAAATTCAATGACGACTGGGCAATTTCTATTTGTTTTCAGGACTGGAAATATATAAAGCATGCATCAACAAAAACATCTTGTAAAATAAGTTTTTTTTTATAACAAATAACATTTCTTACTTGACAACCTTGCACTCTGTGTTTCCTTGGCCTAAATTTAGATGAAATCCAGGAGATTTTGTAAAGTTTCATTAAAATCTCTGTTTTGGCCAACTTGCGGTGTGATATCAATGTTCATTATGAAAGTTCTACAAAAAAATATTCCATTTAACTCTTTCTCACATGTTTATAACTTTATACATCATCTTGAAATACTTTTTACTATAAAATAATGGATTAGATATGGGGGGGGGGGGGGGGAATAAGGCCCAAATACCTCACTTCCCCCTTTCCCTTTCAATTCAAAATTACTTTGATTTTTTTGTTAAAGATAAATTATTGTTGACAAAATTACTTGGTGGATTTTATTTAGAAAATTGATAATGATTGTAATGATAACTGATTATAAAAGTTGTACAGTTTTCAGAGATGTCGAAAGATTTTGGTTTTGTCAGAAGATGATTTTTTTTCTTTGCATAGTTAAAGCAAGATGACACAAAAAGAATGATCTCTAACATTGATGTCAACCTTCAAGATTTCAATGGGAACCTCCCAATGATCCCCAATAATTTGTTCAAAATTTTGGAAATCTTCCTATTTTGATCAATCTCCCTTTTTTACCATTTTTGCATTACATGTGTAGTTGTTTGTCCAGCAGAAATTGATAAATTATTGTCAAAACAATGTTTTAACATGTGAGCTGCATCAGATAGAAATCGACCTTATGCAAGTGCACATATACATGTACATGACTTTGATTGAATTCTGGACATTCAAATATGAAATAAATGATGAATTTTGGTCTGTTTTGTAAGGTTCTTATATCAGCTCAATTTTAAAACAGTTACAGACACCATGGACTTTGCATAGAGATTTTTCAACCCACGAAAATAGGTTAACAGATGTATTGATATTCTTTTGCATCAGGTCGATTTCTATCCAACGCAGCTCACATCATATACAGAGCATGAGCGTTTATCCAACTCACAGGCTAGTGATCACTATAGATGAACTACTTTGACTACTCATTCAAACAGGTTCCATTTTGAATACTGATTGATAAAATTTAACTGCAAAAAGTAAGATAAACCTTTTATTCAAAATCTTTGGTTCTCTGGCAAATTTTGCTCTAAAAAATATTTCATCAGATAGGGATCTCCAATTTAATTGGTTGGAAAAAATGACAACTATATGTATGATAACAAAATATTTGCAGGTTGAGAACTACAGCCAAGAACTTTCCAAAACTTTAGAACAAACCAACTTTCCTATAGCAGTATCACACAGGAAATCTGCAGTCATTGAAAGAGAGATAACTCCTCCACCAAGGCCAATAACTCCTACACTACCAGATATTTCGGATGAGAGGTTGGAGCATATGAGAAAAATGCAGAAAATTAAGGCTTTCATAAGTGGTGACCAGGCAGATTATTACAAAAGGGTAACTATAAAAATACTGTAAACCAACTAAGAGGGGTGGTAGGAGGGGGTGTCAGCATGAATTCCTGAATAAAAATAAAGCATTCTTTCTAGTGTTCTGAAAAATTAATCATTAATTCCTGAGTTCCGATAAGTGTAAATCCCGAATTACTTTAAAAATAAAAGCCCAATCCTAAATTCCTGCAAAAACAAAGGCCCAATCCTGACTTCCTGAAAATTATAAGGTCATGCCCTTCCTTGACTAATGTTGACAAGCGTTTTTTTTTACGTGAGAATGTTAATTCAGATATTTTTGCGATGTTACATTATTACGAAAAATTGTGACGAGATAGAATTTGCATCAATAAAAACTTGTATTTAAAATTTTGATAGCATTATTTGTATGCAGCATTTTTCTAAAATTGCAAAAATAAGTCTCACAGTTTGTCCATTGTTCAACCCTTGCAATAATAAGTCTCACAGTTTGTCCAATGTTCAACCCTTGCAATAATAAGTCTCACAGTTTGTCCATTGTTCAACCTTGCAATAATAAGTCTCACAGTTTGTCCATTGTTTAACCCTTGCAATAATAAGTCTCACAGTTTGTCCATTGTTCAACCCTTGCAATAATAAGTCTCACAGTTTGTCCATTGTTCAACCCTTGCAATAATAAGTCTCACAGTTTGTCCATTGTTCAACCCTTGCAATAATAAATCTCACAGTTTGTCCATTGTTCAACACTTTCAAAAATAAATGCATGCAAAACTTTCTGAATTTAAGGTGGTACATAACACTACAGGTAGATAACTCTGTAAAAATCAGCTGAACGTTTTAATCACGTTCTATTGTTAAGGCAATATTAAGCTTCTTAATGATCAAAATTAGTGTTTGTCAATTAAACTGCTATATATCCAATGAAATTTTTCTGATAAAGTGTGTGGTTCAAATTTTCGAAATTTTTATATTTTTGTCAAAGGGTCAAAGTAGGTATTTTGTCAAAATTTTATGAAAATTAAACGAGCCAAATTAATTTTAGGCAAGGTGTTTGGTACCTAAATTGTAGCAAATATTTCCAACTTGGATTTTCTTGTAACTTTGAAGTTAGAAAATAAATAGATTGCCATGAAGTTGGCTACACTTAAGTTGACCTAACATGAAAATTGTATCTGCAAAAATTCCATGGTTTACAGTAAGGATAGTCGAGTTGGCTTAAAGTGGTCAATGTGTTGCTTGTTTGAATGACTATACTGAGTGGCAACAGCAATGCAGCATATTAAATTCTATGCCCCTTTGGTCCCTTTTTGATTGAAATACCAATCAAAACTTCTTCTTCAAAAAAAAGTAAAATCACAAAAATACTGAACTCCGAGGAAAATTCAAAAAGGAAAGTCCCTAATCAAATGGCAAAAATCAAAAGCTCAAACACATCAAACGAATGGATAACAACTGTCATATTCCTGACTTGGTACAGGCATTTTCTTATGTAGAAAATGGTGGATTGAACCTGGTTTTATAGCTAGCTAAACCTCTCACTTGTATGACATTCACATCAAATTTCATTATATTGACAGTGATGCGTGAACAAAACAAACAGACACAATAGGTAAAAATGTCAAAAATAGGGGTACAGCAGTCAATATTGTGTTATCATCTTAATCACTATAAAAACAAACAAATGTAACAAAGAAGCACAAAAAGGCATACATCAAATGTAACATCCTCATTTTGCTATTTTATTATACGATTTTATTTATCTATGTAAAATCCATCCATAAAGGATGGAAGGTTTTAAGTACTGGTGTAGAATCGCGCGTTTGACGTCACACAGGTTATTCGAACTATTGAAAAATTGGCTACAAGTTTCTAAAATAGTTTGGTCTCACATCAACTTTTTCAGTTCTGAATATCAAAGAAGGTTAAACTCTATTTTCAATTGAAGTTAGGGTGTTGCACCTGTATTGCTACTCAGCATACATGTATAAATAGACACTGACAGTATTGGTACATGGTAGGAAAATATAAATTTATTTGTACGAGCTTTAGAAATAGAGAAAAAAGCGAGGCTTGTCAACCTTTTCTCCTGTTTCTTAGTGTCAGTACAAATACATTTTATATTTTCATATTAAGGATGTACAAATATTGTTTTATATCCTGTAATTTAACACTTATGCTTAAATGTAAAGTTGTTTTACTTCTCAACCAAGGGATTTGTTTTTAAATGAAATCAACATGACTTACACGTGGACCCTGATGAGGACACCATATTGAACTGTGACGTAAACAGTAATTTGAATAGAAGTGGTCAGAAACAACAGAAGGGGAATACCAGGAGACTTTAAACATATACTATACGTTTTACAGTTTATTGCTTCATGTTATCTGTCAACCTGTATTTATAAAGTAGAAAGGTCGATTGCAGGATAATGATATTACCGGTATCTGTCTTTTTCCTTATTACCCCTGTGACAATCTGAAACACCAATATGATCTCAAGAGCATCTGTTTACATATTTATAGTTTCACACTTTTTTCAAGCAATGACAATATTTCATTAACAGTACCTGATGATATATGTAAGATTTCATAAATGTGATTAGTTTTGTCAATGCAAAGATAATGTTTCATTCCTTGATTTCAAAAAAGCTGCTTCCCTTAGTTGCAGACTTGTAAACTCTGGAATTTACCCCGTTAAAATATATGATGTTGTCAAATCAAAATTGTGATTACGAATTATTGCATTATAATTACACATTTCTTGATTGAAGTTGTGATTATCTAGTACACTTTTATGAGGTCCATTCATAGGATAAATTTTTACGAGGGATATAAGGACCCAGTAGAAAAACTCAACAGTGCCCTAAAGTAATCACTCTGCATATACTTTTATTTCTTACAGTAAGTCAAGATTTCCTCAAATTTCAATAATTTTTTGCATAGTGAAGTTTTTTTTTGGACAAAATTTGGAAAATAAATTTTGGTTCTAAATTTTCATGCACTTTATAGACTAGACACTATCACATGACCTGATATAAATAAAAACAGACAAGCAGATACAAATCATCAGTTTTCCAGTGGCAGACTTAAATGTCTTATGAATTTCTGAAGGGTTTTATTTTATAGATTTATAATACTTTTTAATTTTCAAATTCAAGGGGCCAAAAAGTGGCCTTAGTATACCTTCTTCTTTATGAAAATGGTTGACATTTTAAGAGTTATGTCCCTTATCTAAGATCTTTATCATTTATTCACATTATTTGCAAAGTAAGAAAATTTATCATCATGTTTTATGCTAATATGAAAGAATTCACTGTTTAAACCTAAAAATTATTTTTATCTGAAAAAACACTTTCTAACATTCTAAGAGTTATCCTTGACCAATCGGTATTTTTCTCTATTTTAAAGGTGGCTGGAACAAGACCAGGCTCTGTACAGACAATACAGGCTGATGTACATGTTCCTCCTGTGCATTTGAATAAGAGAAGGTAATTATCTATTATTTATTTTTAGATTAAAAGTGTTAAACACTTTAAATTGTAAAAGAAATTGCATTGTTGACTTAGAGATCAGATGCGGTTCCAGGAATTTGAAAAAGGGGAGGCCTACCAACAAAGGCAAAATAAGAAGCAGGACTTGTAAAAGGTCTGTGCTTTAACAATATATGTAGCTCCATAAGGAGGGCATCAGTCCCACTAAAAATTTATGAATTTACAGTATCATTGCATCATTATTGTTTACCAGACTTAGTAAGCTAATAAGTAAGATAATGGTTGTTTAATCTGTATTCAGAAATTAAGCTTACTTAAGAAATAATTCATGGGGGCTTGAATTATTTCTATACTAATAGGACAATTGAATACAACAATTCTTTTGGATTAAAGCACTCTAGGTGAAGGCAAATATTTGCTGTTCCCGTAAATAAACACACTACTATATTGACATAAAAAATCAGAGCAAACTGAACTAATGACATGCTTAAACTATTTACAATAACGTATTTAGATAGGTTTGGATGAATTTAAATGATAATTTTACTTATATGTAAAAAAATTGGCTTATAACACATTTTATCATCGTTTGTTTATGTTTCCTTGTTTTGATGACATTCTGTTTCACAATCATGCATTTTCCCGTAAAATGCTTATATTCTTACGTCATCATTCAGTTACATTGGGTAGCTCATTCATAAAAAAGCATATGACGTGGGAGTATGATCGGAACAGTCCAAACAATATATGCATATTTTACCATGGGTGTGTACTCGAAGCGTTTGAAGAACGTCATATATATTAGAATAAGCTATGCTCCACCTACAATCACGAAAACACATGTCTTGTTCTAAATTTTTGAGATCCCTATGGTCAGGTCTTACAAGAGCTGTAAAATCTGATTCAAATGCAGAACTTTTGTCCATTCTTACATTGCCGGATCCAGAGGGGGTGTTCCAGGGTTAGACAATCCAGACCCTCATAGATACTGGAAAGAGAAGCATGCAGACAGAATATGTATTTTAATCAGATTGACTATCAATAAGGAGGGTCTGGATGGGGATTACAGAAAGGAGATACAGGGCAAAAAGTGCAGAATAGAGAAAAATAGGCTGATAAAATAATAAATAGAGACCAATGGGGTGCTAAAATATAAATAAGTATAGAATAACTAATCGAAGAATTCAAATAGAGAAAAATATTCAAAGAGTGACCGCACAACACATTAATTCACGAATGCGCGTAGCACACGAGTTGAATATTTTTCGATATTTGAATTCTTTGATTAGTTATTCTTTTTATTACATTGGCAAATGGCTTTTTTTATGAAACTAATGTAGAAAATGTAAGGAACTATATCTTTTTCTACGCATTTACAATTTGTTTTGATCCGACGTCATCAACGTCTTGACAACGCCTATTGTTGTATGACGTCAGAGGAGTGAAATAACCACGTTTATTTCACATGTGAAATTATCGGTTTTTATTTCACTGGGAAATCAATGTAATTCATTGCTACCAATGTAATAATATACAATTATGGCCCGTTGAAAAGGTGAATATCCAAAATTGTCAACACGAGAAGGTTATTTCACTGAGGGCGCAGCCCGAAGTGAAATAACTTTTAAGGGTTGACAATTTTGGATATTCATCGCTTCTAAAGGGCCACAATTGTTTTATTATACCGAACTAACAGTGGAAGGGCATTTTGAATCATTGTAAAAGCACTTACCCCTACTTGAGTCGGTAACAAACACAAGTTGACGTTCAAAAATACATGTAATTTGTGTCTTAGAATTCTGGTATGTACAACAAAGGTAGATTCTTTTTGTAAAATATTGATGGCCCTGAAAAGGACCGTTATTAGAGATATCATCGGCACAAGATGCACGTCAAAAGCCTTATTTCCTCTTCTCTCGATCAATGGGCTTCCTGTAACTTAATCGTTGCCATTTTGTTTATTTACGTCTGTGACGTCATTTTCATGAGTACAAATCAACAAACTAAAAAGGTTATTCGCCGGTGAATAATAGGATTATTCAACGCTGGTGTAAATTTTTAGGGTTATTCGTTCTTCCTTGCAATTGAATGAAAATTAACTGAATTATTCCATGTCACGTGATAACGTTTTACCCAATAGAATTGTTTGAAATATATGTAAGGTATAATAATAGAGAATAATGGTCAAAAGAATAAAGAATAAAGAAATGAAAGAGTCCTCATACGAAATAAGTAGTAGGATTCCACCTAGACACTAGTAGGAATGTAGTAGGAATTCTACCTAGACACTAGTAGGAATGTAGTAGGATTCCACCTAGAATTAAAGATTCTATATAGAAAGTAGGCGGACAGGGAAAATGAACAAAATTCTGACTGGATTTTTTATTTTCTCACTAGCAAAATCCTACCCTCTAGCTGGAATTTTAAAAGTCTGTATGGATTTTTTTCTGTTTTGAAAATATGAAGTGGGAATTTGGACAAAAAATCTTATTAAATTGTTCATTTTCCTACTACTAGATTCCTACCAGAATTAATTTATTCCTACTAGAAAATCTTTCTACATGGAATCTTTTTAATTATCTTAAACTGGATTCCTGTTTGCTAATGACACACATTTTGCTGTGTTAAATGCAACCAAGTTCCAGTTCACAATATCAAAAGTTTGAGAATAGAAGAATGAAATAATTGCCTCAAAATTTTAGGAATTAGGGGCCAAAAAGGGGCAAAAAACAAGCATTTTTCTAGTTTCATGACAATATTAAACTTGTGTGTATGTGTATGAATCTCTCTGACATTGTACCACAAGGTTCCATATCACAAAGGGAATGCTGGGATTGATTTTGGGGGTAATTGCCTCAAAATTTTAGGAATTAGGGGCCAAAAAGGGGCAAAAAACAAGCATTTTTCTAGTTTCATGACAATATTAAACTTGTGTGTAAGTGTATGAATCTCTCTGACATTGTACCACAAGGTTCCATATCACAAAGGGAATGCTGGGATTGATTTTGGGGGTAATTGCCTCAAAATTTTAGGAATTAGGGGCCAAAAAAGGGCCAAAAATAAGCATTTTTCTAGTTTCCAGACAACAACTTGTGTTCAAGTGTATGGATCTCTCTGAAATTGTACTGCAAGGTACCATACCACAAAGGGAAGGCTGGGATTGATGTTGGGGGTAATTCCCTCAAAATTTTAGGAATTAGGGGCCATAAAGGGGCAAAAAAACAAGCATTATTCTAGTTTCAGGACAATAACTTGTGTGTAAGTGTATGGATCTTTATGAAATTGTACTGCAAGGTTCCATATCACAAAGGGAAAGCTGGGTTTGAGTTTGGGGGTAATTGCCCTAAACGTTTAGGAATTTGGGGCCAAAAAGGGGCAAAAAAACAAGCATTTTTCTAGTTTCCAGACAATAACTTGTGTTGAAGTGTATGGATCTCTCTGAAATTGTACTGCAAGGTACCATACCACAAAGGGAAGGCTGGGATTGAGTTTGGGGGTGATGAATCATAGGAGGGTTCAAACAATTTGGGGTGGAATTTTTTTTTCCTTTTTAAATTGGTTATTTCTGATTTATATATAAAAGCAAATAATAATGATATGGTTTGAATAGGTAAATTAAAAAAATTTAAGTTATTAGACCACATTCATTCTGTGTCATTAACCTATGCTGTGTCAAATATTTAATTACAATCAAAATTCAGTGCTGTATCAAGCTTGAATGTTGTGTCCATACTTGCCCCAACTGTTCAGGGTTCGACCTCTGTGGTCGTATCAAGCTGAGCCCCAGCGGAGCATTTTATTATACTTTTAAATGAAATTTTTGATCTGCATGTTTGCCAAAACATTTAGTTATCAGTTAATTCAACAATAGTGCATAACTTTACTCATTATTTGTTCATTACTCTTTAATTTCATCTAATCAACATTTTTGCCCATAGACTTATATAACACAATTTATAGCTTGGATATATATCACAGCTTCCTCATACATTTCAAAAGTCAACTTTTTTTAAATGAATATATTCCATGCATTTCTTTTGTTCTTTGTTGTTGAGATTAAAACTTAAATGATTGACCCAGTTGTGTATTTGTGAATATACACTTACATTTTGTATATTTTTAGATTCCTACGAGAAAATATTTTTTTCTATGTGGAATTTTGAAAAATTCCTACCAGGTTTTCTAGTAGGAATTTTATTTTCCCGCCAAATTATTCCTGCTAATTTAAATATTCCTGGTAGGAATATACAATATTTCTACTAAGAAATTCCTGCTAATTTGAATTTTTCGGCTATTTTCCGTGTGGATTCCTACTACTGTCTGACTAGAATATCACTCTTTTCTGGTAGGAATTCAATGCAATATTCCTACTATATTCCGTGTACATTATGTGTGGAATATTTCATACAGGGACTGCCCATCCAGACTCTCATTAAGAATTGGCCTTTCTAAGGATCATATAGGTAGTTATTAATGTAAGATAATTATTGAATTTTATGAATATGTTGTAAGTTAATTTACAATTATATATAAAATGTGCCATTGCCTTCTTATTTAGATGCCTATAACATCAATTATGCATTGATTTTTTCGTTCAAATTGTTAATATTCAGATATAATATTATATAGGATCTATAAAGAGCTTTAGTACTGTAAGTCAGTAAGACATTATTACATCATATTATTGGCTATACAATTTTGAATGTTCTTGGAATGGAAAAATAGGATTTAAATACGTGTAATTTTTCCATTTGTTCCCAAGGTTAATTTCAATTTAAGAGCAAGTGGCTGTTTTCACAAAATATCTAACGAGTAAAAAATTTGCATGTGCTGAACATTTCAGTTTAACTTTTTTTTGTAAAAGAGTCGCAGATTTCTTATAGAAAATAGAAAATATTTGAATCTGTTAAGAAAAATATAAAACTCATTCATTCTCATCATGAAATTGATTGATTGATATTTGGTGTTTAACGCCATTTTCAGAACTCTTATCTATT